CGACACTTGCAAAATGGTTTTAAATATTTCTAAGATAACAACAGAATACTTGTCTCACATTAATTAATTTAGAAGAGACCGTTATGGAGGTAAAACTAAAAGATAATATTTTTGCCTCAAGTTAAACAYGCGCCCCAAGTTGGCCTGTTTGATGGTAATTATAAGGAAAATTAAAATCTATACATGCAAGGTTTGAAATCAAATATTTTAAAACCATAAATAATTTAAATAAAAAGTTAAATAAACATCACCTATTAAACATTTTCGGTGTTAATGCTACAGTGTAAGGATCAGCTTTCCCTTCATTAAATAACCAATTTAAATCAGTTGAATTTGTTACCAAATGTAAAGTTCCGACATTTCCGAATCTTGAAGCTATAAAATTAAAAATGTATAACAAAACATTATTATGCATATCTAAATTATAACTTACAAGTACATCCAAATTGATTTGTTCCATTTAATCTAAGAAAACAAGGGTTTTCCGCAATAATATTAGCATACATTTGATCTTTGACAGAGAGGCAATTTAATAGTGCTAAAAATAAATGGTAATCATATACTACAGTATATAAAATCAATAATTTTGTTGAATAAACTTACTATAAGTCGCAAAATTCAAACATACAAATAAAACAAGACGTACAGTAATCATTTTGTATATTTCAGAATAATAAGAGAATGTAAAACAATAGGTATAGTAATAAATGCTCAAAAAAGGAAAACTTAAACTACATTTCTGTTTTTCAAAATACCTTCATCACTTTGACTTCAACATTTCAATTTTCAATTTTTATATCACATATAAAAATACATAATAATATCATAATCGTTAATCACAATAAATTCTGAATTCAGAATTTTTTTATAAAATGAACATAACCTAAAATAATAACCTTGGTAACAATGGTATTATGGTATTATGGTTCACACCATAGATATTAAAGAATCTATCTATGGTTTACACAACACCAGACATCTTTTCGTGTAAAATAATTTTTCTGATTGGCTCAACCATATTGTGTTTGTGTAACGTAGTGATAATTACTTATCATAATTTCTATTTTATGGTATTATTGGTATTACACTGGTAACTGCCATGACAATCGGTCCATAAATTGTCACTTGCTAGGGGGTTACAATAATCTGTTCTGTTCAACATTCGTGGTTCATCATACAAACTAGTCATGACAGTATGAAATTTACAAAATATTATAATTGACTTATGTTTTAAATAGCCAATCATCGAAAATTCAACAGGTTAGATTTTAAAACTTCAAGCATTTATTTTTATTACCATTTACCATTATTGTTAATTTTAATTTTAGTACTTAGATAATATTTTTTATAATTTGTTTATTTAACATTTATTACACTTGTGCCAGTTAAATAGGTTTTAACTCTTTGTATTCACCTTTAACTCTATTATATATGCTAAATGATAGAAACTGAATGAGCATAGACATTTGGGGGTGATAATTTGTCATATACAATACTAATGTACAATCACTATGCTTAAGATTGCTTTAGTTATTTTTATTACAGGTAATGAACACTGATTTATCAGAGACTAAAAAACAATAATAATCTTGCGTGTAAGATACATATATAACAAGGAAGAATAACCATTGGTAGGCCAGAATATTTAAGAATATTTTCAGTTGTGTTTCCCAGTTTTCAAAATCTTATAATGCTTTTGAGTTATGAATAATGTTATATTCAGTTCTTGATTATTAGTTTATGGGTTATAAGCTTTACGAATTTCATTCAACAGTTTTAATATTGACATAGTAAAAGACGAGTAATTTTACTTAGAATATAGACTAATTATTTTTTTAAACAGTATTTATTTATTTTTATTACACATTTTAGGTATTATTTTTTTATCAAATAAGATAATTGATAAATATTAGTAACAACTGTTTGTTAAAGACCTTAATCATATAAAAAATAAAAATGAATTCTAATATGAATAATTAATTTAATTTATGGTGTATTAGGTTAAAGTAATTTCAATTTATTTAGAGATGACAAATGTTTCAAGATATCAAAATTTGATTTAATAAAAATTAATCTAAATATTTTGAAAATGTCATAATAACAATTGTGTGTAATAAAATATATAGGTAGGTATGTAAATAATCTTTAAGTCTGCAAATAATATTTTTAATTATAATAAAATAAGTAAAAACATAATTTTTTGTTTAAATGAACACTATTTGGTATTGAATTTTCATGCTCAAGCTAAAAAAAATTGAACATTTTATAAATTGTGAATTGAATAATTAGTCAATAATATGCCTGTATTTTTGTTATTTTTTAATTAGAAGTAAATACCTGACAGAAATTTTGTACACCAGATTACTGATTTCAATGATTATACCTATTATTAATCATGATTAACTACAAAGATTACCTATTGTGGTGATCACGTCGCCTACAGGTATCAGTAATCAAGGATGATGTTTGGAAGGTGACTCTTGAGTTAATTACACAACRTAGAATTCTTCTTAATTAGATTAATTGTTTATTTATTGTGATAAAACATATATTTGTTTATAACATGAAAGCTGAATGTAAGTTAAGTATTCTGAATGATAGAATAAATTCGGTTTGAT